ATACATTCCTAAAATAGGTAAATTATTCAGAGGTTACACATCAAAAAAGTATACACACTCTATATCGAGAACAACCAAAAATAACACATAATAATAATCATTTGGCTATTCGTGTATTTTCGTGTGATGTATTCAATGTAAAAGGTGACGAAAAACTATCGTCGAAAAATATGGATGGCTGCGTAAAAGAATCAAGAATGAACACATCTCTACCACCATGGATGGTTGGTTGAAATGTATAAATCCAAGACCAATACATTACAAATCGATATATTGAATGATGTTCAAACACGCTCTATTACAAATTTACCTACAACTTTAGTCCTTGATTGGACACTTGATACTATTTTTGGAATTAAGAAAGCAACCAATAGCAAATGTTTCGAAAATTATGAACACCATACAAATAAAATAACTTGTAAACATTTAATATAATTATTGCAAGGGAATCGAAATGTTCTCTTCAACCATAATGCGTTCGCATTTCGTAGATATTTATAGATGATATAAAACTAGCTTTTACTTAAATAAAGTTTGTGCTTTGTATACATAATAGAACTTTGAATGTCATCAAATGAACTGAATGGATGATCAAACCAACCAAAATACATACACAGATTAAGCAAATACATTTTATTACTTTGTTCATGTTCGAGCCGAGCATTGCCGAATGGATGAAATTTTCGATTTGTCTCCAATCCAAATCAAAGTCATAATAAATCCTTTTTGTAAATTATGATTTATTCAAGAAAGTTCACACTAATAAAATGTCGGAATAAATTTGTTTTCGAGTGTGTTCAAACTTGTTGTTGTTGTTTTTGTCTCAATCAACCACTCAAAATGGGCAATAAAATTTATACAAAAGGTCAATTATTTGTTTGGCCTTTTTGTTTGTTATTGAATGAACTAACATGTTTGCTTAAGGTGATCTGCATCAAAAGTTCGATTTGAAACATTGGCCTATCAAAAATCGTGAAGATATGTAGTTTCGAGCATTGATTGAATATTTAGAAATTTGCTATTCAAATGGGATATAATCAAAATACGTGACAATGATTTGGAGTCAAAATACACGAAGGTCGTCCGCTTCCAAATTTCATTTTGACTATATCAGTTGGTTATAACACAAAAGATAAATGCTACGAAGAACGGAATATGATTTTTGTGATCCATGTGTGATTCGTTAACATCAAAATAAAAATCACACACAAAACAAAATCGAATTGTAATAAAATGTTGTAACCTGCGTGGGTTGACGACGATGAATGAATTCAATCATTCAATTTATGTTCCATTCTCTCTCATTGTAGCTTTCATGTTTCGACCCATTTCGACAATGACGTCTTTTATGGAATTGTTTGTTCATTTGCCATTTGCCATTCTTATTGATATCTTATGTCCTATGTATGAATGGTTTTTGTTCCATATTTTTATTTACTGGTATTCTTCTATCAGCCAAAAAAAAACTTTCTCAGTTTTGTCTATATGAATCTCTTATAGTACGTGGAGAAAACAAAAACCATTGAAATACCAATATAAATAAATTTTGATTAAAGCATCGTGTGTTGTTGGTAAAGGAGTGAAACGATATGAATTTTTGAAATGTTATGCCCAATATACTGTATTAGTATTTAAACGATTTTCAGATTTGGCGGGAATTGAATAAAAAAGAAAACATAAACATTCATTACAACACATGTACGCACATTAATGCGAAGTTGTTTCTTTTCAACTTATTATCTCTGGACCATGAATCAATTTATTCTTCGTGCAATTCATCAAAGTTTTCTTTTTTTTTATAAAGAAGTACTTTCGCTATGATGATGATGATGATGATGACGGGGTAGGGGCGAATAAATTAATTCAAGCTATTTAGTATAAAGCATGTGCAGTGTTGAGAGAGAGAGAGAGAGAGAGAGAGAGAGAGAGAAAACGTTGAAATGAACAAAAATTATTATTATTCACAAAAATTCGATAGTGAATGATGAATGAATTTATGATACATTGGAATACAACGAAATGAAACACGGAATATGAACAGTGAACACACAAGCAATGTTATTGATGATTCAAGTATTCGAATAAAAAACAACATTTAACATGATTCATTGCAAATACTTTTGATGTCCATTCAAACTGAATGTGGAACAAAAATGTTGCGTAACATTTTGGAATGAAAAAAAAGAAGAAAAAAAACTGTTTATCATCCGCGTGATTTTGTGGAAAATATACATTCGCAAAATAACAAACCCGTAAACCGTCTTATAATTCTGTATGACGTTTTACTTCAGTAGCAATATTTTGAATCATCAACTTTTTCGACTTCAAACACTGAATTTGACATAATACATTGACAATTACTCTCCAAACACAACAAACGTTTACTGGTTAGTTTTATATAAAGAGGAAATGTTCCCATTTTCGATCGCGCATTCAACACGAAGCAAACCGAACCACATTAAACATAAAAATGTTATAGCAAAAGAAGATTATCATTACAACAAACATTTTTTTTCTATGTGTCAATAATAATGTGTTCTGGTATACTATTACTATAATATTATAAGTATTTTGGAAAAACCGTAATTCAAATTATATTCGTATAAAGATACGGTAGAATGTTATGCTGATAAAGGGTGTTTTTTAAGAGGTTCTCTATTTTGAATTAAAGAAAAAACACATATCGTTTTTTTTTTTATTTTAATCGAAGAAAAGTGGCTTGTAACTTTTGATCCACTAAATCATAATTTTTTATGTTGTAATAGGGTTGTCTATGTATTTCGGATGGATATCCATCCGAGATATTTTAAAATATCTGGATATTTAACGCAACTGCACAGAGCCAGAGCTGTGTGCGTCGCACTTATAATCAACGGTATGTCGCTACACAAAAAATACCGACACAGTGTGACTGTGTGTGTGTACGTGCGGAACTTGATACACATATACGTAGCTACATACCGTAGATTCTATTTGCGACGCAAACAGCTCTGGCGCTGTGCAGTTCTGTTGAATATCTAGATATTCTAAAATATCTCGGATGGATATCCATCCGAAATACATAGACTGTAATAGGGTCTCCACGAGCTTTGGTGACGGATTCATTTCTCTCAAACGAATTTAACAAAAATTTATAGGTTAAATGTCACGTAAAATGTTCTGATATGTGAAAATTAAACAGCGAGTGAAAATCTTTTTATTAAGATTAATTTTCTTAGACGAAGAAAAAAGCGAAAATATTTCACATACGTTGAGATAAGTCTCAAGTTGGGAATGACAGTGTTGCTATTTTACCTTTAGTATTGAACGTTTTTTTTCAGTAATCACTTGATTCCAGAAATTTATAATTTTTCTTCATAAATTTGAATGACATTTAACGTCTTTCAATCGTCCATATTGTATTAATAGCATAGCGTGAAATAATAGAAATTCTTCGATGGCATAATGAAATCTTCTGTGAAATGCGTATTTTATTTGAATTCATTTCAAACGGTTGTTTTGTATACGACGCAACTGTTGTCAAAGCAATTTGATTATAATCCAAAAATGACAATTTTTATAGAATTAGTTCACCATTTTGAGCGTAATACGTTGTTTGCTTCCTTTTTCTTCTGATTAATTTACCTCTCTCATGGATGAATGCTATGCAGTTGCGTTCGAGATAATGCAATGATTCACTTTGTTGAAAAATGAACAATTTCGTGAAATTATCGCATAGTATTTGTTTAAATGCCCTAAAATTTCTTGTGAATCCATTTCATATTAGTTTGAAAATACCACTCAAATCGTTAGCTACACAGACACATAATGTGTTGTGAGTGATTTGCTAAAAATATTTGAACCTGTATAAGATAATCCAAAGTTTTGCGTTTTTAATTTGAAAAATCAAAGTGCCAATAAATGTAAAATTAGCAATTTTCAACAGGTGTTAGTATTTGTTCGTAAATCAAATGAATTATCGTCTATGCATTTATAAATTATGAATATTTTGTGAAATGAAACGGATTATTTTGATAAAGTAAACAACAAAAAAAGACAGTCTAATAAAAACACGTGTTAGCATAAAATTTGTACGAATCGCACTGGTAAAACTTATCCAATTAGAATCAATTCCAGTTTTTCTTTCTACAATTTAACACGAATGGATTTTGATGAGATGAAGAACGATATATTTGCAAAATTTAATTGACAGACAAAATTAGTGTGAGTGATTAAAAATTACACTTATTATATGAAAATGATGTGATCATCTGCCTTTCGCTGTGGAAGACTTTTGAGCTCTTATTGATTCTATAGAATGCTGACAACAAACAAACAATCCTTTTTCACTCATTCTCCTCTCAATTTTATAATTGTAATGCTGTTATGGTGATAATCCAAAATTTAATGACTGATTTTGCCCAAAAATGCAGCGCATGGTTAGTTCGCATTTTCGCTTCATATATTGAGCATTTGTCCCATTTCGATCTAATAGTCACGTTTTGAATTTACATACATAACATCACCACAATTGAAAGCCAATCTTTATAATTAAATAATTTTCGTTTTTTGATCGAAGCTCGGAACCAAGGATTAATATAATCAATATTGAACACATTGCGTCACAATTACTGACCAATTCAGATATGCATTTTTTTTAGTAGTTTCATCGATAAAATAAATCCAGTTAATTAATTAAGTTGACAAACGTAGTGACTCAATGACATTCGACAAATGATTTTTGCAAACATTCAATTATTCGAAACGGAAAAGTAATGAATGGAGGGAAAAGAAAACCTTAATTGAATTTATTTTCATTGCTTTTGTTAGAAGTGGTGAGTAAAGGTTAGTTTTGGAATCTATAAATCATTATCGGAAAAGTAAAAAAGGATACGTTTTACAATTTGTCGAAAGAAAAATGTGTCACATTTATTTCCAGGGGTAAAATCATCACTAATCATATATGAATAAGCGGTAAAACTGTCACAATTGGTAATTGGTTTTGTGTATTTTTTTTTTTTTTTTGAAACGAATTCAAGTGTACATGTTCATGTGTTTTTGTGTGTGTTACGTGTATTGAGGTGTAGATAGTACGTTTATAATTTTGGAATTCATTCACCAATAAATTGAATGCTATGCTTTTGTTGTATTCGCTCCTTTTACGTTGTAATGACGGGTGAGTTTCATTTAATTCATTTCTCTTTTTAAATTTCACTTTTTTTTATCTTTGTCATCCGTTTTCACCACCATTCTAAGTGGAATATCCTATTTTAGAAAATAACATTAACTTGCGATTAAAATTCTGTCATTCAATTCTTAAATATCTTTCCTATATATTTTCCTGTTTCCAGTCCTAAATCATCTTTTTTTCTCTTCAAACTGGGACTTGCAATGTCCCATTCGTCAGTTCGTTTTTTTTTTTTTGCTTTTACATCATTTTTTGATTGTGTTTTTTTAAATGTTGTTTTATATTGTGGTTTCCTATTTTTTTTCAACGACTTTGTCTCAGTCATAATACTTTTATTCATTCTCATGTTAATTAATTAATTTTCATTCTACGTTTTAGCTTTTATCAATGATATTTTCATTTATTTACCCAGCATACTATTCGGCTCTTCTTTAGCTTCTGTCTCGTTAATTTTACCATTCCCTTTTTTACACGCTGAGATCATTTTAAATTAAAATTCATTGTTTAATTGTTTTCAAGTTATTTTTTTTTTGTTGCTCAACAACTTGTCTCTCTGTATGTGTTTTCTTTGAGTTAAATTTCATTTGCAGTTGAGTTCTTTGTTTTTGATTTCATTGTCTGTTTGTTGCTTTTATATATTGATTCAAAATTATTTTAATAGAACTTACGTATCTAATTTATAGTAGAATCTAGCTAACGACCCCTCGCCCACCTCAATAAAGCATCTGCCAGTACGTCCAAATGTGCTTTTGTCTGAAAATGGACATAGAAAAAACAAATTTTATACTTAATAAAAATGTTAAAAGCTCATTTACACACATAAAACTTAATAAGTTTGAATCAACAACAACAAAAAATAAATGGTCAACATTTTTGTTACTCGTATATGCCAAACACACGCACAATTTTTCACTCACTTTCACAAAATGGCTTTGATCAAATAATAATTTCTCAAATGACCGTAAAAGTGTTTATGAATTTAACCGATTTTGACCATGGTTCAAAAAATCGTTCAACGAATTTGATGAATGATAGAATTTATTTAAGGGTTGAATGTTTGTAATAAAAATACGATTTAATATGAACACATGGAATAGTCATGAAAGTCATTGTAAACGGTCAAGGACAAATCACATCCTCATCGGAAATATGTTGTGTCTATAATATAGTTTTATATTTCCAAGTGCGACAATCGCTTTAAACAACACATTTGCTCCAGACTCCGCGTCTCGAATGCGTCGATTTTCGATTAAGCTGAAATTTTGCTTATGACCTGATGACTTGTGCCTGGTTTTGAAGCGTACACACAGAGAGAAAAAATGTGGTATTTTTAATTCAATTTTGGTAGATTTAATATAAAATCAACCAACAACGAATTAAAGAACCTTGTACACTGAGTGAGACGTCTATATAACTCAAATGTGGATTTCAATGCGAGTGAGAGAGGCAAACACATAAAAAGCTCACTTTTTATACAAACTTCTTTACCATTTTTGACATCTCTGAGGCATATTTTTTAAAAGAGACTATCAGTTGAATAAGTTTTACCAATTAAGCAATTTAATTCGTTGTTGGTGGATTTTATATTAAATCTACTAAACTTGAATTAAAAATACCACATTTTTCTTTCTGTGCATAACAAACAAAAATGCGATTTAAAAATGATTTCTTACAGTCATTGCTAGTGAAAACTTTATGATCAAATGTCGACAAATAAACAGACACACACGAATACTATCATCGACGAGGCATATTTGGAAGTGAAGTTTTTCAGAAATATTAAAACGGAGTATTTCTCGTTCATGTCTGGGTCTCCCCATTTTAATTTTAAATATTAAAATCAACCTCGCTATGCATTTTCCACATTTTAAAATCAATATTTGAGCATGTGCTTTAGCATTTTATCACCAAAAATTATTTCGTTTTGAAAGGGGTTTGTTGCATGTGTAGTTATCAATTACCGCTTAAAAAAAATACCGCTTTCACCTGGCCGTGTCTACTTAGTATAATTATTTTATGAAAATGGGTTTTACTAGATGGTTGTGGCTGTGATGTAATGAAAATACCATATGAACAAATGTAAAATGGAAGTAAATATGTATTTTATTTTATATATAAGAATTCGTTAAGGTTTTTGAATTTTTTAACATGTGTTGACGCATCAGGTGTGTGCTTTAAATGCAGGATCTGTCTAGCTGTGCTATACGATGTGATGTATGGAAATGAATACGGTGTTATGTATGAAGCGATTTTGCATTTACGTCGCCGTTAAACAAGCCTTCGCCATTCCATTAGATAAGAATTTCTATATACAGTATACACTCACATCAGTAATGTGCGAAGGGGGGGGGTAGG